TTAGAAATGAACTGGTAATCTTTATAACGTCAACAAAATACAATACTCACCAGCGGTGTGAGGTAGGCAAACCACTGTTAGTGGTGGACTACTTAGAGTGCATATTACCCCCACTTACAATAGTATCCAATGTATTTATGAGGAATGGGACATAGTGTTCCCATTAGTGTTCACAGGTAAAGTATAACGAGGCTGGCATCACGCTCTCACCCTTTCACTGTCAAAACTACTAAATGTAGCCATCTTTTCTACTCCAATAGCTTCATATCTCGCATCTCTCGCCTGTGGAGCTCCCTTCCCTATCCCAGTTTCCCTGAGAGCTATAATCTCCAACTATTCAAATGTAATGTCAATCAACATCTCCAGTTGCCTTGATCTACCCACTATCCTTTTCCTCATCCTTTCCTCTATCGCTCCTATCTGATCTTGCTCCAAATCTTCTGTAACCCCTGGCGTCCTAGTGGCTTTCGCCTTGCTTGGGATGAAAAACTTAAAAAAAAACAAAAAAAAACTAAAATACATACATGAGTACAAAACTAAATAAAGTTGTATGATTTTAATTTACTATTTAACATGTTTTTATTGTTATTTCTGTGTATTTTGTTCATTTTTTTTATCCTTGTTGTTACAGGTAAGCAACATACAAATGCATTGGTTGTTATGATAACAAAAGGAGGCGGAGAAATCAACTAAATTGAAATAAAGTATCTATCATGGATTTGTGTCTTTCTCTCTTTCCTCCTCTCTTTCTTTCTTTACTTCCTTTCCCCTGTCATTCTGACTACTTTTACATTGCGTACATGTGGAGGAATGTGGGAAAAAAAAATATATATATAACAGTTACAAATGAAGTCTCCTTGATCTTTCTACATGAAATCATGTGTAGCAACATTCATTTTTTTCCACTTTCCTAAAGTTTATCCAAAATAAAAAATTCCTATTTAGTAACATTTTTGTTAAAAAGAAACATATTTTTTGCTTGATGGAACAATCAACATTCTTCCCAACAGAAAAATTAATGAAATCTTTTAGACATTATGATGAAAACAATATTTGGACAGATGTGCATCTGAGACTTTTCCATGCACCAATATATTTCAGGATGTAGGTGATCATAGTTCTCCACAACTTCCTGTTTTTGTTTGCATTAAGCAATTTTTTACTATTATCCCTATTATGCCATCTATTAAAACAGTCGTTAAGTAAGTATTGTTCTTTTCCCCTGCTTCTCTTTCCTTCAGTATATCCTGTAAGTGTTAAATTCTCTTAGGCTTCTTTCCTCATTATATGTCCCAGAAATGGCAGTGGTCTCTTTCTGATTATAACAATGAGTTCCTTTATGGTTCATATTTTTTTTAAGACTTCCTTGTTGCTCACATGTTCAATCCATGGTATTCTCAACATTCATTGGTAGAACCACATTCACTTCAGGTTTCTTCTCCAGATGTGAGAAAACTGTCCAGCATTCACTTCAATGTGAGAGATAAGATATTAAAGGTTCAGCACTCTTTTCTTTCCTTCTAATATTTTCCTATCTCTTAATATTTTGCTTAATTTCTGTAAGACACTTTCAATGATCATATTTAACATTTGTTTTTGGGGTCTAGAAAAAAAACTCCCAAAACAGAACAGACAAAAGAAACTTGACAAAGTATACATGTAGGTAATGAATATTTGAATAAAGTAACTGTTGTTGATTTAATTAATATTTTAAGATTCACAACACATTGTTTACCAGAAAGATTTTAACGGCCTTACTCTTATCTTCAATATTTTCTGATTTAATTGCAGATTCTCAAAATTGTGAAATGCATTATTTTTATTTAATTTCAAATCTGAATATTAAAATTACTACTGAATTTTAGGTTTGTTTTGTTTTTTCATAAAGAAGTTTTTCTGCTCAGTGTGATTTATAAAACTTTCTGAAAATTCAACATTCAAAATTAATCGGGTTTCTAATTAATTAAGATGAATCTTCCTTCAAGATATTCAAATTCAAAATGTCTTTATTAATTCCATAAAGTGGTAAATCTGAATTCGGTGGTCATAGAATTATAAAAAAAATAAGCCTTTCCTAACATACTTTACTATAATCTGAAAGATGATTTCAATATATCTATTGATTAAAGTCATATCAATAACTAGCTATCAACACCTGTAATATTTATGTACATCTACACATTTATTGTGAGAATGTCTGTAAGTAATAAGCAATGTAAGTCTAGAATGGATCAATAATCCTATTGAAAAGCTTTCTTAGATGAACACAGAATGCAACATAGAATCACACTACATCAATTATTAAATACTGTATGGCAGTTTCTGAAATAAGCTAAAGGCAGTTGAAAAAGGTAAACCCCCAAGAATTGCACAATGCGTTTCTATAGCGCTGCTGGATGCTTCTAAAGATGCATTTTGGAAAAGGATTCCTTTTGTTCTGGATTATTCTGCCAACATAAAACATCCATGGTGGAAAGAGATAGAACAATGCTTCTTCAGATTTTACTTATACATTACTATCCAAATTTGCGTATATACTCATAAATACACTAAATTCTGTACTTAATATCTACTTTATTCAGGTGAGATAGAAGTGAAATAACACAGACATAGAGCCAAAAGATAGAAAAAAGAAGGAAAAGAAATAATGAAAGAGTAAAAAGAGACAAGAAAATTATGAAAAGAGGAAATAACCACAACATTCTACACACGTACATACACACACACACACACACGTACACACACACACACACAGAAGCAGAAGAAGACAAAAATCAACCTAACACCAATAAAAAGTGCACAAATTATTTTTTTAACTTAATATAAAAATAACAAAAAATTAGAAAATCAGCAGACAATTGCAATTACACAAAGGTTTGTCTACAAAACTCTAGAGTTGGGGTGCTGAATATTTTTTTTTAAGCATTTAACCCCAAGCAAGGCAGGAGTGCCTCTAGCATGCAAGAAGTTACAGAGAGTGGGAGCAAGAGTAATGAGGCATAATAGAGGAAAGGAAGAAGAAAGGGGAATAGATCAAAACATCCAGAGATATTGATTGACATTGCATTTGAACAGTTGGAGATTATAGCTATCAGGGAAGCAAGTAAGAGGAAGGGAGTTCCACAGATGGGAAGTGCAAGACATAAAGCTCTTGGAGTAGAATAGATGGCTACATTTAACCGTTTTGACAATGAAAGAGTGGGACTGAGATGAAGTTTAAATTCATGCAGTTTGGGAACTAGTGAAAATAGCTTGTCAGGGCAGTTACCATAAAAGTATTTGTAGAAAAAACAAAGGGTGGTGACAGCATTTTTGTGAGAGAGTGACTGTAAACAAGATGCCAAATCAGGGCCAACCACATTGCATATCCGTCTCTGGATTTTGTGAAAGACCCTAAGACGAACAGCAGGGTTCCAGACCATATATAACAGCAATATTCCATGCAAGGGTGAATGGTTGATTTATAGATTTGGAGGATGGACTCGGGGGATAAAAAAATTTCTGGCACAACATAGAGAACCAACTTTCCTTGCGGTAGATGAAGCTATTGATTCAATGTAATTGTTCCATCTCAGGTCAGCAAACAGTGTGAGTCCAAGCAGTCGCAGTCGCAAAGATGTGCTCTCATGGAGTTGAGCATCAAACATTATAATGGGAGGCAGGGTGAGTTCTCTTTGGTGGGTAATAGAGAGCAATTTTGTGGCATTAAATTTAACCAGCTGTTTCCTCCCCCCGTCAACAACCGATTGGAGGTCCTTTCTGAGAGCAACAGACAAGCTAGTTTTGTCAGCGATACCAGATATAACAATCAGCTAAGCGACAAATGTGATATTTATATTAATCCTATCTATTTACATATAATTAAAACCCAAAAGGTGTAGATTTCTGAGAGACCTACCATGCAATGCATATTGTAGTGAACCATCCTGATTCCCTTCATATTCCATTGGTGAGATGTAAATTCCACTTGAGCAGTTTCTTCCCACAGACGACTGCTTTGTGGAACCAATTCCCAAGAGGATGCTTACCTGATCACTACAATCTTAACCTGTTCCGATCTAGGGTTAACCATTACCTTCCCCACTTATCCACATAAAATGTGGCTCTTACTCTTCTTCCATTAATTAACTCTTGAGCCTTGTGCGAGGTGAATAAAAAAAAAACAATATCCTATATCTGGTAATACCAAGGGACTGAGGGTTAAAATAGAATAAAAAAAATTCTAGAAAATCACATTATATTAATTTTTGAACATTTATTTCTTTTTTATTGAAAAAAATAAATATTTCACCCTCTACCAAGCAGCAATGATTCAGGCCCCACAGACCAGTTATGTGACCAGGAGGCATATACGCTAGTCCTATTACTCAATTATTACTCCTAATCAAGTACTCATTACCTGTATAAAGGACACTAGTTCACAGAATCCTCCAATGAATCAGAATCTAATCTCTCCACAATGGGCAAGACAAAAGAATTGTCTAAGGACATCCGGGACAAAATTGCATGCCTGCACATTACTTGAATGGGCTACAAGACAATTGGCAAGCAGCCAGGTGAGAAGGAGTCAACTGTTGGTGTGATAATAAGAAAATGGAAGAAAAACCAATTGACTATCAGTCTCTTTCGGTCTGGAGCTCCATGCAAGATCTCCAAACATGGAGTAAACCTGATGATTTGAAACATGAGGAAACAACCCAGAACTATGCAACAAGAGCTTGTTGATGATCTCAAAGCATCTGGGACCAAAGTCACCAAGATGACCATTAGTAACACACTACATCGTAGTGTACTGAAATCATGTAGTGTTTGCAAGGTTCCCCTACTCAAGCAGGCACATGTACAGGCCCATCAGAAGTTTGCAGATGAAACCCTAAGACATTATACATGGAAATCTTAATGAAGGCCAATATAATATAATAATATATAACAATACAATATAATATAAGAATGTATAAACAAACATTTTGACAAAGCTGATAAGGAGAAACACTCATTACCTTTCAATCTCCACTATATGCCATTTGTTGTTGTTTATTTTTAATGGTGATCGTATGATGTGTATGTTATCTTCTGTTTGTGCTCCCAGATTATAGCTGAGTTGGACTTTGCCTCGTGCAATGGCTACTGCTAGATAATCCTGTCGTACTGTATCTCCGTTACTCATAATAAACAACAAGCCATTCTTCTTTTTGGTCTTGAAACGCAGACGGAATTTGTTCATTTGCTGAGAAGTTTTTCTGTAAAAGGAAATAAATCCATAATCAGGTAGAAAATAAATTTCATGTAAATGTGTTCTATAAATAATTTTATAGTTTAAAAAAAGCTATAAAAGGTTAAGTTATAACCATCACAGGATATGTTATTGAAAGCAGTCTTAGTTAATTTGAATAGGTGACAATGGAGATCCCAGCTTATTTGAATGGGAAACCTTTACTGAATTGCTGATTCACATTTTATAGTTTCATTATTGAAACATCCACCATACTTTTATGCTATTTCCATTGAGAAACAAAACATAAATTTAAATATTCAATCCAATGTAAAAGAATTAAC